TATATATTAGTAGGCCATGATTATAAGATATGCTGCTTAATTAGCATATATCAAAATGAAAGAAAAATAACTATGGCGTTGTTCTTAAAGCAGTAGATAAGAAGATCGATACGTCTCTGAAATGTCTGTTCAGAGAATTTGTAGCGTTAGCTGGAGCTAGCCGCAGGTTAGCTTAGAAGCATGCTATCATGGCTCTGTCCAAAGGTTACAAGAAACAGTTTGACAGACATAACCCTCCGTAAAACTTTTTATTCTGAGATTATACTTATTATTTTTACTTATACTTTTGTAAAGGTGCAACAAGCTGGATATCCTGTGTTAATTAGTGAGTTTTAGAGCTTCTGGTAGGTTGATTTCTTTATCTTTGCACAGACAAGCTAGCTGTTTCTTCCTTTTTCCACTCTAAGCTAAGCTAAGCTAACTGGCTGCTGGCTCGGAGCAACAAGGGTTGTATTTATCTTCTCATCCAACTCTCGGCAATGAAGGACATTTCCCAAAATGTCCAACTGTTTGTTTAAAGTCAAACCTAAAGACAAACGTTTGATGTGTTGAGATCCTCGTCAACTTCCAAGTCAAAAGTACAATTGTCTTTGTTTGTTTTATTGCTGATTGTGAGTTCTGTGCCCTAATATCTTGTTTTTTTTATGTGTCTTGCAGCCGAATTGTCCTGCCCATTTCAGTGGAGGAGGTAAGGACTTGTTTCATTCTATGTCAAGTAAATGTTCCAGATTTAGGTAGCTAATATCCGTTTGTGTGGTTTCCTTTTCAACACTACTATATTTTTGTTTTAAAACAACGTTTCCCCATCCAGACAAGCGTTTTAGAAAGAATCTAAAGTCCATATGACCGTACTTAAAAAACACAAATCACATAACCAGGACTGATGACGCCTCTTGACACGGGAATTGTCGCAAAGCATTAAAATAACTTGCGTCCTAAACATGCAGGCAGTACCAGCATTTAAAAAACACAGAATTAAACTGCGCAACAGCTGCTAGCATTAACAACAAGGTCGGCAATCTATTTTGTTATCCATGTTGAAGTTAACCACTGGTAGTCGAGGCCATTTGTTTTAGGGTTTCTAAAATGCCAGAGTAGTTTTGACGCGACACGTCTTCTTCAATACAGCAGGATGTTCATTTAGTAAATCATGGTCTATTTAGAGTCAAACAGACCATAAAGCAGGGGATGCTTTGGTATATAATATGGTCACTTCCATTCACTGGTTGCAAAAAAACCAAGATGGCGACGGTGTCGATGTGGTGTGGACGCTAGGCGTAAACGCAGCAAATGTTTTGCATTTTAAAACTAAAACGTAATAGTGCGGATGTTAACAATTCCAACCTGGAACATCTGCACAGATTATTTATTATAGACACAGTTGCATCACATTTAAAGCACTTTCTTGGCCAATGATTCAACAATAAACGGTTGACTTTTCGTCCAATAAGTGAAGTTTTTGCAGGTATTTGATTAAATAAAGTACCATCTTTTTCTTAGTGAAGTGTTATGTTGCTGTAACACTGTTTAAAGTTCTCCAGTTAGCACCAGAGCTGACTTCCTGTAGAGACGATTAAAGGCATAACTCAGCAGAGGGGATTGTAGACATTCTGCACTAAGTGGCTACCGCTCGGTATCACTATGTACCCGGACACGTGTTGTTGTTGTTGGAGTCGGCCACTCTTTAGGCTTCCTTCAGATGCCCTTGCAAACACTTGGCTATCAGGTCCAGAACGCTGTGTTTACCTACCAGACTATTGAGTGCTATAATGTTATCAAGAAGAGTTCAGCCTCTTCCTCCCTTCATTAGATCTGAGTTTTATGAAACAACCATCTGAACCCCTTCTTTTCTTACTACCTAGATGCTATCTGCTCACTCTTTTTAATCCACGTGTTCCACGCAACACTGTACTCGTTTCATTGCTTAACACAAAGCAGAAGCCGGTATTTCTCTGAGCCTTGTAATCACCCGTGCGACCGGCTTTTCTTCTGATCCCCTTCGGTGTGAAAGCCTTCGCTGGATTCCTGAGTCAGTTGTGTCACAATCATAACTAACGTGCTGGAACAAGAATCTGAGTGAAAATAGCGGTGGGCCGTGGAATTAATCTGCATGTCCTGTGAGATGTGTAACTACTACATAACCTTGTGTTTTTTACATTTCATACACAGTATTAATTGTGTTCTGGCAATTTAATAAAGTTAGGGGACTCACAAAAGTAAGATTTTAAAAGCAGAGGCCAGAAGCCAAAGACACTGCTTCTCACACTTCCCATAACGCCACTCAGTGATCCTCACATCTCACATTGTTCTCCTTAGAAAGCAATGAAACGTTCGTCTCCACACCTTGTTGTTGTGAGTAAATCTCACGACGTGAACCAGCAGGTTAAACCTTTTTTTACTCTGATGGCACTTTGCCTCAACACGTTTTTTGTCCAGCATTCGGTGACCACCTCCCGTTCAGGTTCAGCCTGTTTTGTCGTTTTGCAGCCGATTGTTGCGTTGCCGTCTCCCGGAGCTGCTCATGACGGGCTGCGTAACGTTTTCTCGACTAACGACTGTCTTCGGCGACGAGAAGACGCACTGGTTCTTCACGACGTGTCACATTCCTGAGTCCCTGCTCACAACGCTGAGCAGCCACAGCTCCCTCAGAAATAGTGCTCATCAGCTCATCTACAGTACAAAAGAAGAGCAGCTTTCTATCTCATCTCTGCTGAGAGTTGCACATGCTCAGTAGCGATCGGGCAGCTGGTAGCGGAGAGCGCAACGTTAGCCAGAGCTAGCGAAACCCGAGTATTTCGGAAATGTTTTCCCCCACCACTAAAACGGCGAAGGGTTTTTTAACGCACTGGTATCGGTTCAATACTCTGTATTGAAAATTGTATTGAAACATCTGTATTTATAAACATTTAAAGGTCCAGTGTGTATGATTTGGCGCCATCTAGTGGCGAGGTTACAGATGGCAACCAGTTGAAACTTCTCTCCAAGTGTCAAGCGTGAAGGAGAACTACGGTGGCCCGATGCAAACAAAAAGAAAAGGGCAAATGACCCTAACCCGAGCCAGCTTTAGGGCAGAAGAGGGTTAGTTTAGCATTGAGGATTTCAGGTGGAGGTACAGTGGAAGTTGCAGTTTGTGCAGAAATAATTGCTGCAGCTCCTTCGAGACCAACGGAGGTTTCCTGTGTTTGTCCGGCCGGTTTGTCGGCCTGCTCCGTATGTAGATATAAACAGCTCAGTCTATGGCAACGAAAACCCGGCGATTCTTCTTTTTAGCTGATTGGACACTAAAGAAAACATACTTGTTAACATCATATTCCATTTCTGCCAATAGCTCCCCTAAGATGGTACACTGTTTCTTTAATTATCATATAGAAAAGACAAAGAACCCTCAATGGACCAAAATGCAAAGCAACTTGAATCTTTGTGTCACTGGTTCTGTGTGAAGGAAACCTTTTCCACTGGTTTTACACTTTACAGCAAAGCTGTCTATCCACTCCAAGTGTTGGAAAAATCAGGAAGTGAGCCTCAGTTAGCTCAAATTCATGTCTTGGCAAACATTCACTGTTTCAGCGTTGCAATGACACATCCTTTGGGCAGTGTGTGTGTGTGTGTGTGTGTGTGTGTGTGTGTGTGTGTGTGTGTG